TTTGGAATGAAATGATATTCCTCAGGGTTAATAAATTTTTGGAATACATGAGGTTGAATGAAACTATGCAAGAAAACATTTTCTTAATTGCATTGCACTCACATATATAATTGCAGCAGTCTTGAACAGGGTTAAACAGAAGGAAAGAGGGAATGGGGAATATTTGAATGGAATGACAGCTCACAAGACCACAAAAAATTGCTCAATCTTATTGCAAATAAACATGCATTATGATTCAAGAGTGTTTATGAAAAAAATGAGACTTACTAAACTCAAAATGAACTACTGAAGGCATTTCTTGCTTATCCCTAACCATGATACAAACACTTCCTGGTTTATTTTTCATTATATTGTTTTGATTGCCCAATCCATGACCAGGAAAGCCTTAGCTGTTACCAGTTTTAAATAAATGCTTTCTCCATTAAGCTGAGAACCTTCACTGACTCCAGCAAGGTCTTATCATCTGACCCCAGTAGTGTCTATGGAAGAATCAGAAAAGGCAAGATAATGGAAGTGGTGTCACAATTTAAGTTCCATCATTTTGTATATGCATATGATATTGACTTGTGGGCTTGCATCCCAATAGTGTCTTAACATTTTTGCCTCTCCTCTTGTTGTCGTCATTATTTGCCACCCATTGAATCAGATATGAAATCAGAATGCTAACAATATGGCATTTATTGGCCCTTTTAGATTAATGAAAGCATGTCTCAGACTCTGATCCCTTGACAACCATTCTGTTCTTATCTCATTAAGAGATGGACACTGAAACACTGTTCAGATGATCTCATAATTGCTCAATAGTGTCAAACTGTTTGGCTGCTAATATTGTAAGCATTTTGGTTCTGTAACCCTTGTTGATTTAGCACAAGTTGAAGTAGTAAACCAACCAATCAACCAACTAACCCTCTCTTATTGTCCATAAAAAGAACACAAAGGAACTTGGCACTTGGCATGTTTCCTATATAGAGAAGACAAGGAAGAAAAGTATAAATTCTAAGTAAACTAACTGCTTGTGACTCAGCTCCCTTCATGACTCAAAGCTGTTTATTTTTTAGCTTTTTTCAGCTTGATTACAACAGAAAGTAGTGTATGATGGGCACAGGAAAGGAGCTTAAAGATGATACAGTGTCCCTTTTGAAATCCAAAGTGTTGTACAACATTTTTCACGAAAACCTGGAGATTATCCACTACTAAGCTATGGAATTATCACAGTAGTATTTCTGCTTATTTTGCAAATATACATATCCTACTGCTGACCAGAGATTTTCCTCTCAATCCACATCAGTGGGGTCAATAGTCTAAGAAACCAAAGATCTGGAGGGCATCATGCCATTTTCCTCAAGGGCGATATAATTTTTTCCTTATAAATGGGTGGTTTCATATAGTGATCTACCATACACATGTGTCTGCAGGGAATCCTGGAATACATTCCTATTGATACAATATCTTTTAATGGAATCTTCATATTGATTCTCCATAATGATCTAACTAAGGGAACACATTATACCTCTTCCTAGTTGTGTTATCTTACCTTTCTATATATGTAGAATTGGATATCATGGTTATCCAATTAACATGTGTTGATGGGTTCCTTCCATGTAGAACTAATATGGGGAACAATAATAGCACGCAACAATTCTGTTGCCATGGTCACATATCTGTAAGGTTTATGTGCTTTCTTTTTCTTAAAATAGTATAGATGCAAGTATATAGGTCCTTTAATTTGAAGGTACCGCCCCACCCACATATATCTATCTATATTTATATCTATCTACACACACAGAGTCACAATATGGGTGGCAAATCGGAGTGTTGCTAATTTCTACAGCAATGACTATATAAATCAACAAAAGGGCTTCTGGAAGGGAGGATGTTCTAATCAGCCACTCCCCCCATCTGTCAGTTTTTTCTACACATATATAACTTTGGAAGCAGTTATCTTGAAAAGTTGAAAATAAGTATAATAAATTAAATGTGTGACAAATATAAACACAGAGATATTGATGTGTAAGTAACTACAAACCATTTAGCTATTTAGTTCATTAGGAAGAAATAATCAAAAGCCCATAGCATGATGTAACCATCATCAGACTGAATAATCACAAAATTGTGAACAGATGGCTGTATCCTTCTGAAGGAGCAATCTGATGAAGCCCAGAGGTGACCTCTGAAGAAAGAAGCATAGCATGAACTTATGTATCCAGTGGCTACAAGAGGGCACAGGGCCAGGACTCTGCAGCACATTTACAAGAAATTGGCAGAGGAGACAGCAGCAGAAAGCAAGTGCATCATCAGTAGTATGCAGAGGCTCAGAAACAAAGGTGGCATATGTGGCCCCAGCTTTGGCAGCAGGTTTTTATTAAATAGCCCATACATTCAATTAAGCATCTAAAAGAAAAAATGGAAAGCGCTCCCCAGTGTCCAGAAGCCAAAGAGAAAGAGAACAGGGCGTCTGAAATGAAAGAAGATAGGAAAGGGGGATAGACATTGAGAAGCCAGAGAAATCAGGGCTGCAACAGGAACACAATAGGAGAAAGTAGGATGACATGTGAGGCAAAAACAATTTCCTGCAAAAGATTAGGGTCTGGCTTTTTTTTTTTTTTATCATTCCTCATCTGCCAGGTTTTTAATTTAATTTAACTTAAATAAAACTGGAAAATTTGGAGAGAGCAAAAACTTGTTATATCTCTATCATAGCTAAACTAAGTTCCAAGGCATAATATAAAAAATAAATAAGCAAAGTAATATGAATGACAATTTATTCAAAATTATTTATATTTACTACTTGTGGGTGCATAGTCCTTCCATTTCTTATTTGAGAAGGAAACTACTAAAAACTTTAAACTTTAATACAATTCTGATTTATTATTCTAGATAAAGCAAGCTTCTTTAATATTTGGGGGAAAGGTGGAGAGTTCCATGTAAATTGTTTACTGGATTAGTAAAAACATGCAATCTATTTTTTCAATTCTGATGGGAGGTAGGAACTAATAATCAATTTCAGACATTAATATTGAACTTCATTTCACATATTACATTTAGATGCCATCAATCTCAACAACTTTTTACACATACTTCACCAGAAATATACCCATGTACCCCCATTTCTTAAGAGTTTGTGCAGAAGCTTATACATCATTATGCTCTGTTAACTGAGGAGATATTGGGCAAAACCTTTGTTTTTCTGAGCACCTTGAACATTTAACTCTTAATGAATAAATATCCAGGGACTGCAAAATGTCAAATTTTTCACTAAGGATTTACAACATCTTATAGGATCAGCCAAGTATAGCAATGCTGTTGTTTCAGTAATAAAGACTGACTTTTTATTTCCACAAAGATTTTCAAGTAACTCTAGAACAGTGGTTCTCAACCTTTTTAATGCCGCGACCCCCAACCGGTCGTAAGTCGAGGACTACTCAACTGGTGCAGCACCATTTGCAGAATGGGACTTTTGGAGGGCTCAGCGGGGCAGAGACAGCCTGGACAATTCCTATTGGCTTTTGAAAGCCAATAGAATTAGACTCTATTCAAGAGAGTCTATTCTATTGGTTTTCAAAAGCCAATAGAATAAAAGGGAGTAGCATAGCTAAGGAAAAAGGGGAAAAAAATGGCGGACTGCGTTGTTTGGCGACCCCCATGAAATGGTCGTTCGACCCCCAAATGGGGTCCCGACCCTCAGGTTGAGAACCACTGCTCTAGAAGATAAAACAGAGGTGAAAAAATAGTCAATAATTTCCAAATTGAGAAGCAGTATTTAGCAGCAATATTGCTTAGTGAACATATTCTGCTAGAAAAAGTGGCTCTTTCATCTAATTGTGACAACATGCAATAAAAAGACATTCTGAAAAGCGGTATAAAAGTTAGACATGACCCTGATTTTTGCTTTAATATTAGCTTTTTAATCACCGGATACCATAATACAGGTAAATACTACAAGTGATGGTGGAAGAGGGAAGTTCCCAGAATGCTTCATTTTGTCCCTATCCAAGTCCTCGTTAAGAGAAGTCTCAAAAAAAAAGTCACATACAACTCATAGCAATACTCCGTTTGTTGACAGACCCAGCGCTGCCTTTCTGGAACAGCAGAAACACGTAGCGCTAAGGTCAACGGCGGAGGGGGGGGGGGGAGAGGGAGGAACCATCGCTTCCGAGAGTGGAGTAAAGGCTGTGGTTATGAAAATACGGACGGGCTGGGCTCTGAGTTCTCATTCACCTACCCCAAATCCCTTTACGCCGAGCGCACTGCGATTTCAGTCCAGCTGATTTCCAGCCGACAGACGGGGCTCAAGTCAGGGGGACACGGAGCACCTCAGAGTTTCTACCGGGCCGAGCAGCAGGAAGTGCCCGGCCATTGCGCTTGCGACATCGTTAACAAGATAGCTTTCCTCCTCGCCACTTCTGATAGGCTAATCCTGGTTGAAGAAAGGCGAAATGCCCATCAAACCAAACCCAGCATTAAAACGGAGACTTGTTCGAAAAGTTGCTTTCTACCTCCGATCGTAAACCGCAAGGATGGACGAAAAAACACCCCTCCCTTCCCGCCTCTTCTCTCCCAGGTAAGCCTTCGGGCGCTTCGGAACATGCTCACCACCCAGGAGATTAAAGGAAATCTCGAGGTTTGCGATCCCGCCACACGCGCCATAGAAAGGTCGCCGGAAAAAAACGCCGCCCTTCGCTCTCTTTATACCCTCCGGTCGTCGGTGAAGCGCTAGTTACAGCGCTCCGTCCAGCCCGCAGCAGAGGCGCAGAGCCATCGGTTTCAAGGCATCCGGCCGAGGGGACCTTCGCGTGGGAGAGGGCTTCCTGACTCACGTGCGATTCTCCGAGAGTTACTTAAGCTAACGAGAAAGGGAGGGAGGGAGGGAGGGAGGAACAGCGGTCAGAATTGCCGCGCGGGCTTTGGAAGAGCCATCCGGCGCAGGGTGGGCGCGGGGTAAACCCCAACCGAGCATGTGGCTACGTGTTTCTGGCTAAGAGGAAAGGAGGGGGTAGGTGGGGCTTGCTTGGCCGCGGCGCCGCTCGTCCACCTCCCTCTGTCCGTGTTCCGGCCGAGTCTCTGCAGGATAACCGCTGCCCCAGCCGCCGCCCCCTGTCTGTCCCGGGCGAGACAGGCGGGACTGAAGACCCGGAGAACTGGAGGGAGGGCTTGTGCGGGGCTGGGCTCGGCTCCGCCCGTTCGCTTACTCGCTGCCCGCCCGGCTGCGGGGCGCTGTTGCAAGCATCTTAGGAGGAGCGGCTAAGCTGGGTTGGGTCGGCCGACGGCGGGGAGGTGCTGGATCTCGAGCTTCACTAGGTGGGTGGGTGGTAGGAAAGCAGGAGGGGGTGGCCGCGGCGGCCTTGGCTTCCCTCCGACTCTCCCCCTCCTGATAGGCGGACGATGAAGAAGCTATACATCGGCAACCTGAGCCCGGCCGTGACTGCCGAGGAGCTCCGTCAGCTCTTCGGGGACAGGAAGTTGCCCCTCACCGGGCAGGTCCTACTCAAGTCCGGCTACGCTTTCGTGGACTACCCGGACCAGAACTGGGCCATCCGCGCCATCGAAACTCTCTCCGGTAAGCCAGGAAATGCGGCGCTCAGGGCTAAGGAGAGGGCGTGCGGAGATACCTCTTAGCCTTGACCTCCCCTCCCCCCCCGCTCTCCCCGGGCTGGCTCCTGGCCACTATTCCGCCTTCCGACCAGGCCCTTTGGAGCCGGCAGGGCAGCGAGTGTCTCGGGGAGAATTCCCGCTTGGGCGAGATGTTGACGCAGGGGCTGGGGGAGTTTCCCGTATTTACTCAGTTCCCCCGCGAGAGACGGAGAGAGGGGACCCGGTGCCCCCCTCCTGACCGAACCGAAGCGATCCTTGATGCCTCTCAGAGGGCGGTGCTGCTCCCAGAGCCTCTGAGCCGGTGCCCGCGCCTAGGCGCCCTTTCCCGTTCGCCCTGAGCGCGCTGCGCTTCAGCAGGCGGCCCGCCGGGCGAGGGAGGGATTTTTCGCTGATTTTTTTCTCCGATTTTATTGAGCGGCTCCCGAGTGCGGGGTATCGCTCCCTTCAGTTTTCCCGGCATCCACTAGATCTGGGGCACCTTTCTACGAGGTGCCCTGTCCCAACTCGCCGGGAGCCCGGCGCAAAGAGCCCGAAATCTGCCCGGGGGCCCGGAGTGACGCGCAGCCCTGAGGCCGGCCAGTCACACCGGGGACGAGCAGAGCAGGGCTTCAATTGACGGAGAGGGACGCTTGGGCCAGCTCCAGGAAGGAAGACCGTCCATCGGGTTTGAGCGGGCCGGCCTGAAGCCGCTACGAAGAACCGGTTGGAGTAGTTGGCCCTTCACTCACTCGCGCACCTCGCCGTTTCGTTCCGGAGGCTGAATGTTAGCCAGAGCCCAGGTGGGGCGAGCCCAGTTTGTCTAAGCACCAACCCTTTAATATGTCTGCTCACTCCTAGATCGCTCGCTCGCTCGCGGTCCTAGGAATAGTTTGGGCAGAAGAAAAATACCTGAATGGGCGGGGGTTCGCGCGAGCGCCAACGGAGCAGACTCCGAGTCTTTTGGGCTGAACCGCGCGCAAAAATTCGTGTGAACGGTTCCAGTCGTAGATCCAGATGGGCAGAAATGTTTCCACGGACATGGGATGAAGTGGTTCCTTTGGCAAAATAGTCACTCGAGGAAACAAAGACAGCTCCCCCCCCCCCCAGCATGCCTGAAATGCTTTCAAAGCCCATTTCTGCTTAAGGGAGTTTTTACTCCCAAAGGGTGACTATTTGCTATTTTTCCCATCAAATTTCTCTCATTTTCCATTTTCTACCATCAACTCTGAGTAATCAAAAAAATGAGTTTGGGTGCTGAGCAATCAGGACTTTGGCACTTGGAAACGGATTCTTTTATTTTTACTTTTAAGGTAAAGCAGAGTTGCATGGCAAAGTCATGGAAGTGGATTATTCAGTCCCCAAAAAACTAAGGTAAAATATTTATTCTTCCTGTTATTACAAATTATTAGTAAGTTGGAGAAAAATAAACAACAGAAAGTTCCATCTTGAGGTTTAAACTGCAGTGCTGAAAATACTTTAATATTACATTTTTGCTTTTGTTGTCTGAGAGTTGTTTTTCTTTCTTGGAAATCTTTCTTGGATACAGTTTCCTCCTGTATCATGTGGTTGTCACATAGTTTGATATATATATATAACCCTGGTTATTCTTTTTAAAAGTCCTGATGCTATAAAATAAAATGTCCTTTTATGTTTTTAAAAAAACTTTTTCAGGATTCTCAACTGAGACCCTGATTTTCACAAGGATGGGAACTAGGACTTTAAGTCATATTAGCTTTTTAGTACCAGTCAGCCAGAAGTAAAGATATGGCCAGCGACATAGATGTTGGTTCAATTAAATAAATATAAAAACAACTTTGGCTGAAGATGATGAGAATTGTAATTCAGAATATCTGGGAGAAGTTGTACTTCCAAGCCTCAACTATGTTGGGGAAGCTTTATTTCTAAAAACTTCTTTTATATGACTTGTATAAACCATGTCTTATTTCTGGTGCTTTTTCAAAAAGTAGCAATCAGTGGCAGAAGTGTGTTATATAGGATAATACTAGTGCTTTCTAGTTTGCTATTTTGGGTTTCCTATAGTCTATGTTGGCAAAATATTTTCCACTGTTCTAAGTGAAGCATAGTTGCATAAGTTGTAGTATTTTTGATTAGAGGGCGGTGAAATTGTAATGTTTTTTAACCATCATTTTCTAATATATTTTATTGATATTGTTAGATAACTGTTAAATCATTTTAGCCCTCTACACAATTTTGAAATGCTTTCAAATGCAAAGTTTCCAAATTACTAAAAGAGTGGAATGGATGAGTAGAGTTATTGATCTTTTTTACTTATTTATTTTAATTGTGTGTGTATATTATTTAAAATTATAAGTTTTGTACAGTACTAGTCCTTCTATAACAAATTAGAAAATTGCCTATACCTCTATTCTCTGGAAAACTTTGCCTTTAAATTGTTTTGTAATGAAATCAATAGATGTTTTGCACCTGGGAGCGTCAAATGATTTCCCATTTTCTGAAGATCTTAATTTGCTGATCTATAACTGAATAAAGATTTGATTTGATCTGATTTGACGATATTAAGAGGATTCTTCATACATTTCATACACCATGCATTTCAACAGTATTTTTGAGGTTCTGTTTAAGAAAAAGTTTCACTGTTTAAAAATAGAACTTTAAAATTTAAATTCCAAAAATATGTGGTACGTGAATATGGTTTTTAAAGAAAATGATTTTAAATCTAAATATAGTACAAAAAATTGATTTCTAAAATACTTGTGTAAATGTGAGGGAGTTTTTCTTTGTTTCAAAGTGTTATCAAGTCACAAACATATAAAGTGTGATGTGATTCAGAACTTATCTGTTCTTCAGTTTGCTATTTCTAAAATATGTTCAGTCTATTAGAACTTTTGTTTGAAAACCCTTGCTCCTGTGTCCTGTGATATGATTCTGACCTTTGTAATTAACTTTTCTAAAGGAAGTTCAAAAAGTTATTGTAGTTTTATGCACACTCATACAAAAAGTAAGGTTCACTGTACTTACTATAACTGATACTTAAGGAAACATGAATTGGGCTTTAGACTTAATTGAAACATTTATAATCATTTTTTAATGCAGAAGTAACAAGTTTGATCCTATATGGTCAGATTCTAAAATGATATTTTGTGTACAATGAAATAAAATATAATTGAAAATAGCTGCAAATATATTGAATTATAAGAAATATTGCATCCAATTACTCAGTTTTTGGCTATGTGCTTTAATATGGTGGAGTACAAAAAGATGGGAATTGGAGAATTATAGTTATTACTACATTAATTGTTCTAGTGACAGCTGTTTAATGCTGATCTTTTGGGGAAAAATGTTGATGTTTATTATATAAACTTGTCTTGTTTTATGTCCTTTATGTGGTACTTAAAATTCTCAAATTCATTCTTATCAATTGCCCCAAAACTGTATAATCATTTTCAGTTATATTTTTGATCACTTCAGTCAGAATTATTGTTTTCCATTTAACCATGTAGTTACAATGGTGTGTCTTTGTCTAAACTTAAGAAAATTTCTTCCACACTTCACAATTGAAGAATAGAATCTTTGATAATCAGTGGGAATATTATCATGTTTTTGAGTTTAGTTAGAAGTTCAGAAGTCCTTGAAGTTTGCATTACTTTTTATTAGGTGCTCAAAATCCAAATCAGTGTCCTTTGCTTAAGCTACTTTTAGATGATTTTTTTTAAAGAATGGATTGCAAGGCAACTATTTTGATCAGATGCAAAAAGGTTAGAAATATTATATTCTTAAATAGATTACTATCATACTGTGGCAGTTAATATAAATTAATCATTTTAAACAAAAATAAATTTGGTATTTAGGTGTCTTTTAACATTGTTGATATTTGGCTAAGTATGGCGTGAAAATGTAAAATTTACAGTTCTGTGTATTAAGCTTGATTATTTAAATTGTGTTTCTAATTTTGATCTTAATTTTACACTTTTTGTGGAAATTTCAGTGATATATTCTGAATTCCTATGAGGTGCGATTATAGGGAGTTTTTGTAGAAACTAAAATATGTATTTTAAAAAGAGTTTTAAAATTGAAAAACATTGCAAAATATTTAAAAAGCTTATTCAGCATATAAAAACTTAATGAATTGTTTACTTTAAAAATAATTTTAAAAATAAGAGAATGGATTCATAGTCTGTCCTAAAAAGCCATCAGGCGTAATTACTTGAAATATTTGAAAGAAACTTAGTAATATTTGGTTTCTAGTTAATTTATATGAATGGGAAAATACCCTTAATCAATTATAAAAGAAAAGAATACTGATATTTTTTATCTTTTAAAAGATGCCTCCAAATCTTCTAATTTTACACAAAGAGAAAAGCAAAGTAATGTCTGTGTAAAATAAAACATGTGATTTACTAAAATACTTTTTGTAGTATGCTTGGGTGTGCTATGAATGGAAAACAGTTTTTCAACAGATGAGAGCAAGGGTTGATGCCATTAACTGATCGTTACAATATGAATGGTTTTGTATTCTTAAAACATTAAAGAGACTAGACTTTTATTTTGCTAATATAAACTATTATATCATTACTCACCTCTTCATCTTGTCAGATAGCTTGTAATATTTTTTTAAAGTAGATACTTTTCATTTAATTTATTTTCTGTTTAAAATAAATTGCCAAAAATATTTTTAGTACTTTGAAAGAATTACAGCAGGTAGTTATACTGTATTGCACAAAAATAAAGTTATTCTTTAAGAGAGAAATATACATGTATTAGAACAAATTCTGTTTAATAATTATTGAATCAACTATCATTCCTATCTGACATATGATTAAACATTATTAAATTGGTTCCTCAGTAATCATTTTAGTGATTCATTTGGATTTTGTTGCTTCTGTGAGTCACTTTCATAGTAGTATCTGAATGAAAAATAATCAGCATCTTAAAGGAACTTGAGCAATGTGGAGAGATTAAGGAAGTTGTGATAGAAATAATTGCTGAATATTGGGTCAAAGGGTAAAGAGACATAAAGAGAACTCATAGTTTCAACTTATTCTGTGATACAAATGGTCACAAAATATTTCTGTGATACAAATGGTCACAAATGGTAATTTTCAGGATTGTAAATCACGAGGTCCCTGTTCTTGGGCTTTTTAAAAGTAAACAAAGAAACTAATATATAAAAGAATTAGAGAGAACAATTTAGTGGTCTTCAAATTCTGTGGGAATTGTGGGAAAGAGTGTTATATAACACCTTAATTGAAAAATGCATGGAATGAAATGAATTTTTCTAATCCTTATTTCTAAAAAAAACTTGCTGAATGTACTGAGAATGACCACATTATTTACATACTGTTTTAAATGATTTGGTATACGTAATTGTTATCAATTTTGAAATGCCTGTTATAATGTATATGAATTCTTCCATTTTCCAAAGATATAGTTGATATGCCTTCTAAGGTTATAAATCACTATATAGACCTAAGGTATGTTACGTTTGCTGTATAAAAATATTCATAACAACCTTAAAGACATTAGGCTCCCTATAATTACTTATCTCAGTAAAGATGGGAAGATTTTTGTGTGTGTCTGGATGGAGCTTCAACCAAGCGATAGAAGAAGTAATAAAAGACGTATATGCATAGCCTTTAGTGGGAAGAAAAAGAAGGTACCTGGAATGGTTGCCTTTATTTCACTAATTTGGCATATAATCCAAATGAAGTAGAAAAAAAATCCAGAATAACATTTGCTTACAAATGAGGGGAGAGAAAGGGACATCTTCTGTTTCAGCATGATTAAATATTTTAGTCTAACATCTTAGATGTAATTGTAACTGATGATGTTCCTGAAATTAAGTAACATACTCATGAAATGCATTTCTGCCACTCAAAAGGAAGCATAGGGAAGGAAGAAATTTCTGCTTCTGCATGGATACAAACTCTTTTGATTTTTCTAGAGTAAACTGACTCTATTCAGTAGGTGTAGCGAGGGAGATATTTTAGACTTTATTATAGACAGTCATTTTTGTTTTATAAACATCTATTATCTGTTTTCTGGTGAAATGCAGTCCTGCTCTTCAATGCTCTGTGTTCCATTTTTGTATGTACCTATAATGTACTGCTGATGGAGTTTCTTGCTTTATAAAAGAACGATTGTGTAGATAACTGATGACATAAAATTTGAATATCCCAATTACTTATATAAGCATCTACATCAAAGGAAACTGTAGTATTTTATTTTGTTTTTGACCAATTCAAAACTGAATTTTCTAAAAAGAAAAAAGATGTTAATCTGAAATCTAATATTAAGCTAGCTTTCAGAATGCCTTCTCAGCAGGTTTGTCACCAGGCATCAGAAATACATTGGAATTCCCTCTCCTCTTTTTTTAAACTTTTTTTTTTCAT